TGATGACACAACTCCCTCCCCCGCCCCCTCTCGCCCCCTCTCCTGCATACATGCACTCGTGAAAGCGGGAGCCCAACCCCCCCCTTCCCCCTCTCCCTTTCCCCTTGTTTTCTCGTAAATGATGCTCCGGTGCAATTAGAGGGGCATTATGCAAACCCTCTTATTCAACTGCCTCATTTCCCTCCTCCGCCTTTCATTTCTCAATCTCTCTCTCTCTCTCTCTCTCTCTCTCTCTCTCTCTCTCTCTCTCTCTCTCTCTCTCTCTCCTTCCTTCCTTCTTTCCTTCTTTCCTTCCCTCCTTCCTTCCTTCCTTCTTTCCTTCTTTCCTTCCCTCTCCCTCTCCTTCCTTGCCGTTTTGCGATATCCTCTCCCTCTTTTAGCTCCGTTCTCCTTCCACCTTCTTTCCAGGTTACTGTAGGTTGTTGCACCTGCTCAGCCGTGAATAACAACCGCTCTGATACTACTACTGCTACTTCTACTACTACATCTACTACTATTACTTTATTCCCCATTAGAGCCAAAAAAAGACTGCCCCTTTTGCGCTACGTTGACAAATTATTCTCTTCTATTTCCTTTCCATTATCAGCGGAATTTCTTGTCTTCTCAGCATATCGCGCAGAGAAAGGAGAAGCGATACGACCCTCTTGCGTAAAATCATCAGCCGCCTTTATATAAGAGGTGGGTGGGTGGGTGGGGGGGTGGGGGGGAGCCTGATAAAGCAATCACGTGACCGGGAGTTGGTTTTGCACGCCAACGGAGGCAAATATATAAAGAAGATAATCGATATCATTTTAATAGCGCGACGCACGGTCATATTTATTAGCATACGCATCATTATTCAGATACGGGCACAAAAAATGATAACGTCTCTTGCCTCTAACATCTCTACATACGCCAAAATTACATCAACGTTTCCTAAAAATTCGTTACACATATATCCTTTCCAGTACATGTAGTGTGATTCTGAAATACACGGATAAAGTGCCTTATTCACCGATAAATATAAACAAACACACACACACACACACACGCACGCATGACACTACGTCGCCTCTTGAGATAAACGTAAATTAAACCAACAATACATAAATTATTACATAAATAAATATATAAATAAAACAGGTGTTACAAGGGAATCCGATCCTTACGCTAGAGGGAGACAAGAGTCGAGAAGGGCGGATATATCCCTGCCTGGAATGCAGAAGGGCTGGGGGGAGGGGGAGGGGGAGGGGGAGGAAGAGAAGAGGGGAAGGGGAGGGAGTAGGAAAAGAAGATGTGGCGTTGCAGGAATGCAATTAATGCAATGAGGAGAGTGTTGCAACTGGTGGTGCGGGAGACATAGAATGCAGAAAGAGGGGGGGAGGAGAGAGGGGGGAGAGGGGAGAGGGGAGGGAGGGAGGGAGGGAGGGAGGGAGGGGGAGAGAGAGAGAGAGAGAGAGAGAGAGAGAGAGAGAGAGAGAGAGAGAGAGAGAGAGAGAGAGAGAGAGAGAGAGAGAGAGAGAGAGAGAGAGACCTAAGGAGCCAGATTATCCTGCCGCCCACAAATACGGGCGGCGTACGGGCGTGACGGCCTGCTGCTGCCCATTTCACGACCGAATACGTGAGTGCGAGCGGCACGGGCGTGATTCCTCACCCGCGGGCCAAGTGGGCGCACGCCAAGCGCCGGACAGATGGTGCGCAGGACGGCAGCACGCATGGGCGCTGTTGCACGCATGCACACAGGAACATGGACAACACACACACACACACACACACACACACACACACACACACACACACACACACACACACACACACGAAAAAAAAAAAAAACATTCTCGCCAGCCAGTCAGCCAAACCTCCCCCTCCCCCCCCCCTCTAAAAAATCCAGCCGACAGACAAGGAGAGAGACAATGGACCCGCAAGGTGTGTCATGTCAAGGTTATCCCAGAGTCCTTCTGACCTACAGTACAGGACAACCCTCCCTCCCCCCTCCCCCTCTCCCCCCCCTCCCTCCCCCAATGTCAACTCAAGTCTCCCCCAACCCCTCCCCCCCTCTCCCCCACACTCCCTTACCCTAACCACGCTCCTCCTCCTCCCTCTGACTCGTCCTCCTCTTCTCTCTCTCTCTCCTCTTCTTGGCTTTCTTCGTTCTGCTTTATTTTCCTTCCCCTTCTCTTTTCTTCCTTTCTACGCCTTCTCCTCCAAATTCTCCTCCTTCAGTTAGCTCTTTTCCCCTCCTCCTCGTCCTTTCCTTCTTTCCCATTTTTTACCCTCCCCTTCCTCCTCCTCCCCCCCCCTTTCTTCACCTTGCTCCTCCCCCCACCTCCATCCCCCGCACCACCTCCCCCACCTCCCCCCCTCTCAGCTCCATCACCCCCCCCTCCCACCTCCCACCTCCTCCTCAACACGACAATATCCTCCTGAATCGCACGATGCATATCCGCATGTTCTCTGCATATCATTAACACACTTTTTTTTTCTCTCTCGCCAAGAGACTCTCTTAATTAACACTCTTAATAACGCCTAAGTATGCAATATTCAGCAGCGCGAAAAAGGCTGCCCGGAACGTCTTTCATAATTAAAAGCAACAATTACGTAAAATGCGCGCTTGCGGAAGAGACCCGAACCCCGTAATCTCGTCTCTTAAATCCTCGTCATTACCGCTTGTTAAGGGCATACGGACAAACATTAAATCAACAACGGAATGCATTTAACACTAAACAAGGAAAAACAACGAACGGAGGAGCAAAAAAAAAAAAAAAAAGAGGGAAATACATGGAAGGAAGATTAGCAGACAACGCCACACATTTCACAGAAAACGAACTTTTTTACATTTAAAATTCAACTCGCTTCTATAATCGCCGACATTATAGCCGTAAGTACACCGCTCACCTCGTCCCGGTTTCAGCGTATAAAACCTACATGGCATTAGTGCGCGAACACGCATATACAAGAGAACTTCAAAATGGAGAGGAAAAGGAAAGAACAGAATGAAGCACACACACACACACACACACACACACACACACACACACACACACACACACACACACACACACACACGCGCGCGCGCGCGCGCGCGCGCACACACACGCACAAAAAAAATCTAAGAACATACGAACATACGCATATACACATACACACTAAGCGATCCTGGCGTATGCAGGTGCGTGATGACGTCATTACGTGGAACGGCGCGTGCGCAAGGACAATGACAGGAGATGAGAATGCACGTGGGTGAGGGAGGGGGGAGGGGGTGTGAGAGAGACAGGGAAAGAGGGAGAAAGGAGAGAAGGAGAGAAAAAAAGATAAGACAAGGAGAGGGAGATACAGATAGAGATAGACAAAAGAGGGGGGCCATAGAGAGAGAGAGAGAGAGAAGGAGAATGGAAAAGAAAGAAAGAGATGGACAGAAGAGGGAGAGAATGGGAGAACAGAAGAGGGAAGAAGAGAGGGAAGTAGCAAATAAAATAGTAGAGAATAGTAGCGAAGGAGAAAGAAGTTAGGGCAAGTGAGGTAGAGAGAGGGAGAGGGAGAGGGAGAGAGAAAGAGGGAGGGAGAGAAGGAAGGAAGGAAGGAAGGAAGGAAGGAGGGAGGGGGGAGAGAGAGAGAGGGGGAGAGAGAGAGAGAGAGAGAGAGAGAGAGAGAGAGAGAGAGAGAGAGAGAGAGAGAGAGAGAGAGAGAGAGAGAGAGAGAGAGAGAGAGAGAGAGGCCTTTCGTAATATAAACCCAAGGGGGAGGTGTTACATATATTTTTTTTAAGAATGAGAATAAAAGAAAGCGATGAAACAACAAACAAAAAAGGCGAAAAAGCGAATCACCGCCCCCCCCCCCCGAACCCCTTCCACCCCCTTCCCCTTCCCCACATAAACTTCCAACCTCCCGTGACAGCATCAGCCTCAGCTTCAAGCCAGCTGATCGCAACCCTTCCATCTCTTCCGGTCCCGAATGGTACAAAAATGCCCGGCAGGAACAAGAGCGGCACGCGCCACCTCACTCATCCCCCCACACCCCCACTCTCACGCTCTCTCACTCCCTCTCCCTCTCCCTTTCCCTCCCTCCCACTCTCTCTCTCTCTCTATCTCTCTCTCTCTCTCTTTCTCTTTCACTCACCTTCCTCTCATCTCATATCTCGCTCCCTTCTGCCTTTATTCGTTTCGCGTATTCCTATTCCCTCTTTCTCCTTGTATCCCTTCCTCCATCCCCCCCGCCCCCCTCCCCGCTCATCTTCCTTCATCTGTCGTTTCCCTCTTTCCCCTTTGCCCCTTCCTTTTCCTCCCCCCCTCTTCCCTCTCCGTATCCCTCTTATCCACCACCTCTTCACTCTTCCCCTCTCCTTTCTCCTTTTTCTCCCCCCTCCCTCTCTCTCCACCCCCTCTCCCTTAATACCTCCTTCCACCCCCCCACCCCCCGAGAGCGGCTACTCCATAACACGGTCCGCCGGCTATAGCGTCCGGCCGGATAAAACGGGTTCCGGATAGGCTGAGCTGGCTGAAGCGGTCGGCCGGACAGCGTGACGTAAAAGGGGGGGGAGGAAGGGAAGGGAAGGGAAGAGGGGAGGGAAGGGATGAGGGAGGGGAGGGGAAGGGAAGGGAAAGGAAGGGAAGAGAAGAGGGAGGGGAGGGGAGGGGAGGGGAGGAGAGGAGAGGGAAGGGAAGAGGGAGGGGAGGGAAAGGGAGGATGGAGATAGGGAGGAAAATAGAAGGGAGGGAATGTGGGAATGAGGGACTGGAGGGAAGGCGGGAGCGGAGGGATGTTAGGTGGGAGTAGTAATGAGGAAAATAGGAAAGGGGTAAGCAAGAAGAGAGGGGAGAGAGAAAAATGGTTTGAAGGTAGGGTGGCGGTCACGGTAAGGGAGGGGGGGAGAAAAAAAAAAAAAAAAAAAAAAAAAAAAAAAAAAACAGAAGACGAAAAAAAGATGTGGAAAATTCAATTCAGAGTTACAGGCAACGAAGACAGACAGAAAAAAATAAATAAATAAAAAAAATAAATCCAACTAAATCCAGGACCGAACTTACCCGGCGACCCCGTCCCTCCGAAGCCAGCGGACGACGCCCCTCCGACACCGCCTCCGCCGCCGCTCACGCCGCCTCCGCCGCCGCCGCCCGCCTCCGAGGGCCTGGAGAGCCGCCCGCGCAGCCCCGATCCCTTCGGGCGGCCGCGCTTCCTCTGGCCGCGGATGGGCGGGGCGGACGAGGACCCGCCGCCCAGGCTCGCGGCCGAAGAGGACACTGAGGGGGGGAGAGAAGGTACGTTAATGGCTATGTCGTTTATGTAATTAATAAATGTAAATTACACTTTAATGAAGAAAAATACGGGCAAGGAAGGGTGAAGAGAGGCAGATATAAACAAGAGAAGGGATACAAGAAGAAATAAACACAATTTAACAGACAAGCATAGTGAAATGTGTGTGCGTTTGATTGATTGATAGATAGATAGATAGACAGATAGAGAGACAGAGAGAGACTAATACATATCCGATTATAGAGTAAAACATAAAACGTCGACAGGGAGAGAAAAAAAAATATGCATAATATCAGAAAACATGATACAAATCAAACAAATACACAATTCCCAGTCAGAGTGCGAAACAAAAACAAATTCAGCAAAGAAACAAGGTAGGATCTTCTCTTCCACTTAGATAAGAAATATAAAAAATGGGCTATAGAAAATAAACAAATACACAAATAATAGGAATATATTGTCACTAAAACAAATACATACCAAAAAATCGACAAATGTACAAACAGGCAACCTCAAACCAAAACAAGAACAAATAAACGACACCCGAACAAAGAAACGAAACAGCTACAAACAAATTATAAACGCAAAAATAAAGACTATAACAAGAGCAGCAGCAGCAGCGACAACAACAACAACAACAAAACTTTAAACCCCAATTGATGACTTCAAGGAAACGGGGGTGAGGGGGAGACGGACGGAGGGGAAGGGGGGGGTGGAGCAGAGAATCATGTCATGCAAAGGAGACAAAAGGGAGAATGGGAGGGTGGGGGAGGGAATGGGGCGACCCCCCCCTCCCCTTACACATGCATACATACGCACTGGGGTCGTTGTCTATGGAAGCATAAAAGAAAGAGGGGGGGGAGGGGGAGGGAATGAGTGAGAGAGAGGGGAAGGGGATAATGGGAAGGGGGAGGGAAAGGTAAAGGCAAAGGAGTGGGAGAACAAGAGAGAGAGAGAGAGAGAGAGAGAGAGAGAGAGAGAGAGAGAGAGAGAGAGAGAGAGAGAGAGAGAGACAGATAGATAGAGAGAGAGAAAGAGACACAGGAAAGGAGAAAAGGAGGGCTACGATGGAGGGGGGGGCATAGCTCCATTCCGCCCCCTCATAACCTCACGCAACGCAACTCACCTGTGCCACATCTCTCTCTTTAAACGCTCGTAAACCACAAGCTTCCGCAAAAATAATCACAGAAGATAATAAATAATAATACAACCCGTAGCACCACACTGTATGGTGTCTTACCTAACCACTGAAGCACCATATCAAAGCAACACTATACCATAATTAACAAAGCTCCATATGAACACCGACCACCAAACAAAACCACAATATCACCATCATTCACTATACCCCATTCCAGGAGGGGTGTACAGTCAACAGTGTTATGCAGTGCCACTAAAACACTATGCCTACACGATTGATGGCACCATCGGCACCTTTATTTCGCCCTAGAACAAAGACACGGCCCCTTCCCGCATGGCCGACTTGAGGGGAACTCTGGCTGACCTATCACATCCCACCTGATCCTATTTTTATTGCTCTCATTCCTTATTCCTTTTTCTCTTTTTTTTTCTTTCTTCTATCTCTCTTTCTCCAGACCTCTCTTTTCTTTCCTCTCTGCCTGCCTGTCTGTCTTTCTCTTTCTATTTCTCTTTCTCTCTTTTTCCCTTCCTTCCTTCCCTTTGTCCCTTTCCCGTGACATTTTCCTCTCCTCTCCCTCCATTCTCCCATCTCCAAGTGCCTTCCTTTCTCTCGAACTGACCCTCCCGAGAACTCCAAGCCCCGAGCACTGCATCAACTTCTTTCACCTTTTCCAATCACCTTTAACTTCACTCCCTCCTCCTCCGTCCCACTCACCTTCCCCCATGCCCCCCCTCCCCCTGCACCCCCCCCTCTTTCCTTGCCTTCCCTCAACCTGGCTTTTAGCAAGATTGGACGACGGGAGGTGTCATGCGGTATCGCGCTCTGTCAAAGGATTAGCTGGAACCACTAGGGGAAGGGAGGGAGAGGAGGGGGGAGAGGGGAGGGAAAGGGAGAGAGGAGGGAAGGGGAGAGGGGAGGGAAGGGGAGAGGGGAGGGAAGGGGAGAGGGGAGGGAAGGGGAGAGGGAAGGGGAGAGGGGAGGGAAGGGGAGAGGGGAGGGAAGGGTAGAGGGGAGGGAAGGGGAGAGAGGAGGGAAGGGGAGAGGGGAGGGAAGGGGAGAGGGAGGGAAGGAGAGAGGGTGGCGGTGGAGGAGAGAGAGTGAGGAAGGGCTGGAGAGGAGGAGGAGGAGGAGGAGGGGGTGGATAGAGGAGGATGATGATGGTGGTGATGAGGAGGAAGAGAAGGGGGGGGGGATAGAAGTGGAGATACAGGAAGAAGAAAAACGGGACATACAAACATCAAAGATAAAAGGCTCACTAAGGAAGAAGGGGAAAGAGAGCACACAGGAAGGACCGGCGAGATTCACAACGAGAAACAGAAAGAAAGGGAAGTAAGGGTAAGATAAAAAGGGGGGAAAAACAAGAGAGAAATGCTCGCGGGAGAAGGAACAAAGCAAGGGGAGAGGAAGAGGGGAAGAGGAGAAAAGGGGGAAAGAGAGGGAGCCGCCTAATTAGCTATCCAGCTCCGCCGCCATTACCAACCGCCAAGTTGCCTTCTGCAAGCGCCCGACCTGGCCTCGAAGCACTCGGGGGCCTCGCTCGCCTCAAAGCAGAGCGAGGAATCTGAACACAACTTTTACACTTCTTTTAGCATTCATTGACTTGTTTACGTTCGCCAGGTTTGAACTAACGCTTGGGAGTCACGTTTAGGTATATAAAAAAAAAATGAGTATCATGCAATGGACCTGCATGGGGAAACACTGATATAAATAGAGATATAGATACAGACTCTTCGCATGCATGTGTGCGTGTACGGTAGAATATATCTTATTTACAAAGACCTGCTTCCAAGTCTTTTAAAATAAGTAAACAGGCAAACAATCAAACAAGAGAACTGAAAAAAGGGGAATCGCAGAAATGGAGTGCAAACAAATTTAAGGGAAGGAATTAAACCGTGAAAGAAGATTTAATGGTCGCAATTAGAAGATACTTGCGGGGTTAAAAATAGGGCGGGACGCACGAGACGCTCGGCCAGAATTTACTTTGCCAGCCTCGGGACTCCCCCCCCCCCCTCGTGTCTCTTCTCCTCTCTCTCTCTCTCTCTCTCTCTCTCTCTCTCTCTCTCTCTCTCTCTCTTTCTACCTTTCCCCTGGTCCTCCCCTCCCCTCTCTCTCTCCTTCCCTTCTTCTCTCTCTCTCTCTCTCTCTTTCTCTCTCTCTCTCTCTCTCCCCCTCTCTCTTTCCCCAAACCAGCCAAACGTCAGGCAATAACGGCCTCGATAGCGGCCCGAGCGACGTGACCTGATGTCTCTGATGCAGGTGACCCGGTTTACGAGGCAGCCGAAGGAGGAGGCGACGGAGTGTGGCGCGTGGAATGGCCGAGAAGAGGAGGAATGAAAAGATAGTGGCAAAGATAGTGAGAGGTGAGATGAGGGGAGGGATACAGAGGTAGGGAGGGAGAGGGGGAAGAGCACAAGGGGGAAGAGGAGACGATAGACTGATTAAAAACAGTAGAAAACGAAGCGAGAACCGAGAGAGGGGAAACTCAGCCCTGGCCTCGTGGCACAGCAACCCCCCCCCCCCCCCCCCCCCCCCCCCCCCCCCCCCCCCCCCCCCCCCCCCCCCCCCCCCCCCCCCCCCCCCCCCCCCCCCCCCCCCCCCCCCCCCCCCCCCCCCCCCCCCCCCCCCCCCCCCCCCCCCCCCCCCCCCCCCCCCCCCCCCCCCCCCCCCCCCCCCCCCCCCCCCCCCCCCCCCCCCCCCCCCCCCCCCCCCCCCCCCCCCCCCCCCCCCCCCCCCCCCCCCCCCCCCCCCCCCCCCCCCCCCCCCCCCCCCCCCCCCCCCCCCCCCCCCCCCCCCCCCCCCCCCCCCCCCCCCCCCCCCCCCCCCCCCCCCCCCCCCCCCCCCCCCCCCCCCCCCCCCCCCCCCCCCCCCCCCCCCCCCCCCCCCCCCCCCCCCCCCCCCCCCCCCCCCCCCCCCCCCCCCCCCCCCCCCCCCCCCCCCCCCCCCCCCCCCCCCCCCCCCCCCCCCCCCCCCCCCCCCCCCCCCCCCCCCCCCCCCCCCCCCCCCCCCCCCCCCCCCCCCCCCCCCCCCCCCCCCCCCCCCCCCCCCCCCCCCCCCCCAAACAATCAACCCAGTTTCTCTCCACTCCTATTTCTCCTCGCTCCTCCTTCCACGTTTCCACATTCGAAAGAAACACTGCAATGAGAAAGGTTGAAAAAAAAGGGAGAAAAAGAAATGTACGAGAAAAATCAGTCCCAAGTATTCAAATGTCTTCCCAAGTGCATGCATGACCCGTGAATGTGGGCTGGGGCACAGGGGAGGGGAGAGGAAAAAACGACAAAGGCGAAGAGAGGGGAGAAGGGGGAAGAGAAAAAGGGGAGAACAAAAAGGAAAAAAAAAACACACAAAAAAAAAACAGGGGGGAGAGGGAATTCGTAGAAAGGGAAAGCAGGGGGGGGTGGGGGGACAGGATTGGGGTAGGAGGAAAGGGGAGCGACGGAGGCAAAGAGAAGAAGGGAGGGAAGGATAGCGAAGAAGAATAAGAAGGAAGGAGGGGGTGAAACAGGAAACAGAAAGAAAAGAAGAACGGAAAGGGAGAGGAAGAAAGAAAAAGAAGGAAGAGACCAGAGTAACGAAGGTTAGAAACAAGGGGTAAGAAGGAAGGGAAGCAACAACAGGGAGGAGACGGAGGGGTAGGTAGTAGGAAGGAAGGGGAGCGAGCACGGGGAAGACGAGGAGAGGGGGAGGAGGGGGGGAGAGGGGGAGGAGAAGGGGGGGAGCAGGGGAGCAGGCGGAGATCGAGCCATGCAATCCATCCGTCAGCCACTTTGCCAAATTGCGGAGCGGCGACAACACAGACAGCCGTGATCCGCGCCATGCAACGGGTGCTGTGAGTCCGACTTTCTCTGT